TTTTCAGGGGACTGTGTTATTTTTTTTTAAGTACTTCGGTACAACCATTTACATTGATTCAAAATAGAGTGAAGTCGTCTTCTTCTAGATATTCATCATCCTCACTCCCAACCCTGAATCCCATCCTGAAGTTTGCAACTCAGTTTCCTTTAAGACACCATCGGCCCTGATCATCTCATGTTGGACCACTAGAGCTCTCACGGGGCAGATAAGGGCTGCTCGTGATTCTCCTCCCCGCTCTGCGACGACACCATATTTCATTGGGTTGGTGGCGACGCGTGCGCAGCCACCGCCTGTCCACAGGCTGATTTTCATCAGCCACGTGCCACTTTGCTAGGAGGCTGATTTGTCATGGCCACGCCCATCACCAGGGGCTTATTTTCATAGCCACGCCCAGCACTAGGGGCTTATTGTTCATAAGCCACTGCCCATCACCAGGGCTGATTTTACATAGCGGCCACACCCCATCACTTAAGGTGGATTTTCATAGCCACTGCCCACACTAGTGCTGATTTTCATACCACGCCCATCACCGAGGGCTGATTTTCATAGCATGCCCAGCACTAGGGCTATGATGTTTCATAGCCAATGCCCAGCCACTAAGGCTGGATTTTCATAGCCATGCCCATCACCCAGGGTATTTTCATAGCCACGCCCATCACTAGGGGCTGATTTTCATATCCAAACGCCACCCCCTGCACTAGGGGCTGATTTTCATTAGCCATGCCATCCACCAGGGCTGATTTTCATAGCACGCCCAGCACTAGGGCTGATTTCAATAGCCACGCCCCTCACTAGGGGGCTATTTTCATAGCCACGCCCATCCACTCAGGCTGGATTTTCCATAGCCACGCCCAGCCACTAGGCTGATTTTCATAGCCACGACCAGCCACTAGAGGGCTGATTTTCGGGGTGAGGGCTTCTATTGCACACATGCTTAGACATCTTGTAGGGCCTTATTCATGGGTAGTAGCTTTATTTTCAGAAACACGATAGGAGCAGTCGTTACAACCCAACACTTGTAATTATCCAAACCAGCCCCTCCTTAGCTGGGCCACTCTCACCTGCCTATGTGTTTTCCTTGCAAACCCCAAATAACACGCCTGCTGCAGCGGGCTCTTCCTTCCTGATCAGAAACCCTGGAGCTTCCCGCCTGCAGCCCTGCCTGGCAAGGTGACACGGCTCTCTTATCTTTGGAAATCTAAGTCATTAAAAAATATTCTGTGATCATAGCCCTTGTCTCGTGGGTACAGACCATGCACACACCTCTCTCTAAAATGCTCAGCTGCTTAGGCAGCATTCCTAGGGGGAATAAAAGCTGTCCTAGGCCAGGTGACATCTGCACAGTGCTATTTCTTCTGAGAAACAGGAGGCCTGGCCGCCACCCTTGTGAGTTTTGCAAGTGTCCACGGTGTCCATACTCCAAGTCCTTCTGTCCACCGACCCGTGTGCAGGTGGGACCCCACAGTAGTGGAAGAGGAACTCGTGGTCTGAGTGGGACACCCTCCCTTCAGCAGGGCATGGAGGTTCCGCGCCATCAATCACCCTTGGGACAGAAAGGGACATGCGAAAAAGCAGTCAGCTATGCACATTTTTTTTTTTTTTTTTTTGAGACAGAGTCTCACTCTGTTGCCCGGCTAGAGTGCCGTGGCGTCAGCCTCGCTCACCATGAACCTCAGGATCCTGACCTCAGCTGGATCCTCCTGCCTCAGCCTCCCGAGCACTGGGACTACGGCATGCACTCACCATGCCCGTTAATTTTTATATTTTTATTTCCTGGCTAATTTCTTCTATTTTCAGTAGAGGTGGGGTCTCGCTCTTGCTTAGGGCTGGTCTCGAACTCCTGACCCTCAAGCAACTCCCCATCTTGGCCTCCCACACGCGTGGGAGTTACAGGGTCAGGCCACCCCACACCTGGCCATCTGTCCACGATGTTTTTATGACAAAATAAAGAAGAAAGGAAAGGAGAGGAGAAAGACAAATTTCTTGAATTTACGACATGTGTTTTCACTTTTTTTTATGACAAAGAAAAGAAAAAGGATTGAAAACTATTAATCATTTTCTGAGTCATGGGAGGAAGGGACCGGCTGGAATACTATTCTCATACGCTAAAGGCAAGGTTGAATTCATGTCGTGCATCGTGGCATTGAAAAGGATTGAGCTCCTCAATGATCTTTTTAATAAGCCGTGGGGTGTCTTCTTGAGGAAAAATAAATATAAGGCCCTGTCTTATTTTCAGGGAAACATGGCAGCTGTCTGGTACCTTGCCCCCGGCTTGATTTAGTGCGGAGGAAATATTGTCTTGATGTGTATGAGTTAGATAAAGGAGGTGGTTGGATTGCACACGACAGGCACAATGCAGAGTAGGTTGGTAATTATCTTTAGGAATTAGCTAGCCCTGGAAATTTGGTTTATCTCAAAGGCAGTAAGGTTCTTCAAGATGCCAAAACATCATAAGATACAGCAGGTTTTTTTTTTTTCTCTTTTGTTCAGCACAAGGATATTTTTTATTTGCTGGCTTCCTTTTGGAAATAAAAGAAAATTCCTTTCCAAACCCAGCTGGGGAAATAAAAAACAAGAAAAAGCAGAATAAAGGTTGCTGGTTAATCTACCTTTTGAAATAACTGCCAATAAAGTGATGGGGTGTATTTCTTCCCAGGTTTTGTTCCATGTGTAGGTCTGTAGGCATTACTTCCTTGCACACTGATAACTTTTTAATACTCTGTAACCTGTTTTAAAAAACTGCATTCCTCATTGACATGGATTATATCAGTAGATAACTTTTTGTATTATAAATAACACTGTATAAACATTCTTGTGTACACATCTTTAAGTCCTTATCTAAATGTATTCTTACGACAAGTTCCCAGAAATGGAATTATTGGATTGCAAGAGTACTCACAATTTCATTTTTGATGCACATACCCAAATTTCTCTTTAGAATGTTTATTTCTAGGTCTATTTCTATATATATATTATAGAATGTATATATATATATATATATATATATATT